CCGGCTCCCCGCCGCCCCTCGCCTCACCTCGGGGCCGGGGCCGACCACGGGGCCGGGGCCCCCCCGGTTCTCGGTCTCGCTGACCAGCGAGGACTTGAGCTCGTCCAGGTCCCCGTGGGCCGAGCCGCGCCCCGCGCCCTTGTCCTGCTCCTCGCCCTCGTCCTGGAAGGCGATGAGCTCGTCGGGGGCCCCCAAGTCGTCTCCCCCCGTCGGTTCCAGCTGCGGCATCGTGGGGTCCCGCCCCGGCCCCGCCGGGCCCCGCCGCCGCCGCCGCCACCGCCCGGAGGGTCGGGAATGCGCGGGGCGGCGGGGCGGGGAGGAGCCGGGATGCAAACCGACACCGGGGGCCGGGCAGGGGCTCGCGCCGCCCCGCCGGGCCCGCACTGGTCCCGCCGCCGACTCCGCACCGGCCCCGCTGCCCACGGGGCGCCCACGCTCGGTCCCGCCGCGTCCGAGGCCCCCTGCACGTTCGGGGACCCCCATCCTGTCCGGGCTCCCTATCCCGTCCGTGCCGTCCTTATCCCAGCCAGGGTTCCTCCACCTCGTCCAGGGTGCCCCAGCTGGGGTCGCCCCGTCCCGTGCAGGTTGTCGCCTCCCATCCGAGTGTTCCCATCCCACCCGTGGTCCCCCCATTCTATGCGGGGTGACACTTCTGATACATCTGAGTATTCTCAGCTTGCTCACGGTCCCCCCCAAATTCCATCCGTGTTCCTGCCACCCAACCCAGTTGCCTCCGCCCTCCCTGGGTGCCCCCATCCTACCCAGGGTACCCCTCCCTCCGCTATTCCTGTCCTGCCGGGGTGCGCGTGTCCCATTTGCGTGCCTCCATGTCTCAGCAAAGCCCACATCTCACCTGGCCCGCCACGGTGTCCCCATCTCACCCATGTGTTTCACCACACCAGAGTGACCCCCAGTCTACTCCCTGTCCCGTACCCCAGGGAGTGCTCAGAGGGAGATGCCCATCCGTCCCCACACTGGGAGCAGGGTCCTGCCGTGATGGGACCAGCCAGCCTGCAAGACAGACTCATTGAAAAAACCTTTTTCCCGTTTATTTTTTACCGGATGGGCTCGTTCCCCCATGACAGGCACCTGCGGGGCTGGTGGGGTGGCACCGAATGGGCTTTAATCCAGCTTCTCCAAAGCATTGTCTTTGTCCCATCCCGTCACCCACAGCCTGACCGTGAACCCCAACCTCCAGCCATCTCCAATCCCCAAACCCCTGGGGCCACCAGACTCCACCACCCCCCGGCAGCCCCTTGCTCTGCACCACAAAGGTTCTTCAGTTGCTTTGCCTGAAATACTTCATGAAAAGGCTTTTGTACCGTCGAAATCGCTGGTGACCCCAGTCCCCCCTGCCCAAGATTCCCAAGGAAAAGCAGGAGGCAGCTGTGGGGGGTCGTGCCGGCTGGCCCTTCCCCGCTCCCAGCCCTCCAGATGTTTTATTGCCCTGTGTTTAATTAACATTTCCAGCCACGTGCTGAATGGGGAAGCTGAAATCTGCCCCTTCTTCCCAGACAGCTCCTTGTTTAGGGGTACATGGAGTAGGGGTATGGATATGTTCAGGGGTCTGTGTGAGTCACAGGATGCTAAAAAATATAAATGGTCACTTTATGCGATATTTTTTCCCATATTTCCCATAAATACGGGATGAATCCTCAAGGCATGAGGACACAGCTGGTTCTCAACAGGGGACAGTGGAAGGTGAACGTCTTGTGCCACCCCGCGCTCCCCAGGTTCCCCACAACTTTGCACTCCTATGATCTCCTAAATCATAAAAAGGCACTGGCAGCCCTGAAGTTTTGGAGTGCTTCCCAACATTTTTGTAGGTTCTACAAACACAGGAGAGCCTCTCCAATGTGTTTCATCCATCGGGAGGTGACATCTGGTGCTGTGGGGGTGATGGCCGGATGAATGGATGGGGGGATTCATGGGATGGAAGGGATGAGGGGTGTAAGGTGGACCATCTAACACCCCAGGACTCTCAGCCACCCCAGGGCTTTTAGGTGCCTCAGGAGCCTTGGACATCCCAGGATCCTCCATCACTCCATTCACCATCTCCCACCCCATCCCACTCCCCCAGACACATTTTTCCCTGGGAGATGGGGGCACGAGGATATTCCTACCCCCCCCCACCTCCTCAGCCAAAGCCTGAGACAAATCCTGACAGAGCACTGGAACCATCACTACCTCTGGGGAAAAACTGGTGGCCTGGGGGGCTCCTTAAACCCCACCTCTGCCTCCGGGGGCTCGGAGACCTCGGGCCCCCGTTATTTCCCCCGTGTGTGAAGGTGAGGGGTCGTGGATGAGTTTCTCCCCGTGGCCCACGAGCCCGCACGGGCGGGGGGTGAGACGCCCCAGGAGTTTTGGGGGAACCTCCGCCATCTCCGCGTCCTTGCTACTCTCTCAACTTTAAGGAGACCCCGAATGTGGAAGAAGGTTCTGGGGAGAGAAAGGGGACCCGATGGAAGGCCACCTCGAAATCCCACGAGCAACCCCTCCCCAGGCGGTCCCAGCCAGATGTGGGCAGCGGGGGAGGGCTGGGGGAACAATGAGCTGCTAATGTCGATTTAACACATTCTGGGGACACCGCCAGGCGAGGGCCCACCCGCTGTCCCTCCCCTCACCTACCCCTCTGCCTCAGGTCACCTCCCGTGTCCCCCCGGGCCACCTCCTGCCGCCCAAGAACACGTCTTCGGGAGGGTCACGGCCACGGGGAGCTGAGAGGCAGAATTTGGATGATTTGGGCTAAAGTTGAGACGCATTTACACCCCAAAAAGCTCCAGGCTCCGAACCGCTTCGGTCCCCGCAAACATCCCTGATATGCGCCCCCACTCCGGCTGGGAAATGAAGGAAATCCCTGGAAATGCCATTTTCTGCCCCCGGGGGCTGCGTTTGGGGGGTACGGGCACTGCGGAGGGCTGTGTGGGACATGGGCACTGTCGGGGCTGCACTGAGAACCCCGAGAAGCGCCTGGAGCGGGTGTCCCAGAACAGCCCGGGATAGCTGAGAACTGTCCTTGGGGTGCGTGACCCCGAGAACTCTCAGTGGACGGGAGTCTCCGAAAATTGATGTGGGACGGGGGACCCCGGAACATCCCGGGAACGGGGCCCCCAAGAGCACTCTGAGATGGGGGAGCCCCAGAGCCGCCCCGGGCCGGGGGTCCCCGAGAGCCGCTCTGAGACAGAGAACCCCCGGAAACACCTGGGACGGGGGGGGCCGGGGGAGAAACCGAGCCGGGGGCGGTTTGTTCGGAGGGGTGGTCTCCCTGTCGGGGGTGGTCTCTCTCCCTGTCGGGGTCCGTTATTCGGGGGGGGTTCGGTATTTTTGGGGGGTGGTCCATCCACTCAGGGCCGTGCTCCGGCAGATCGGGGGTGCGGGGCAGCACCGTGTGGGCGTGGCCCTGTGGGGCGGGGCTGTCTGGGGCGGGGCTGAGCGCTTCCGGGGCGGGGTCTCGGTGC